GTGAGCTGTGTATGACTGCGGGGTTCTGAGGGTGGTTCTGTAGGTATTTGTGCACTCTGCTCCACTCGATTCTGTTTTTTTTTTTTTTTTTTTTTACACAGGGTTTGACAAGGTTAGGTTAAGGATCCCTAGCTTTATTGACAAGCTATTTACGGGTTAAGGATTCCTAACTTTATTGACAAGCTAAGAGCTGTTACCTACATCAGCTCATTTGAAAGCATTTTTATTGTTATGAGACATACAAGTAGGGAACAGGATGAAGTTGGAGCCATCTTTGGGCCAGCATTTTCATTTGATCAACTGACTATCTCGTTGACATCATTATGCTGTACGAATGTGTTCCATACTCGAGTCATCCTGGGTATATATAATCTCAGATGGAGTGATGTTCTGGAGAAGGGTACAGCCAGAGTGAAGTTGCTGCTTTCTGCCCGTCTTGTGGCATAAAAGTTTGTTTCACGCTGTCCTCGAAATGGATCCAAGTGTGGTACTTTGACAATATTGGCCTTGTACATAACAGTAAGGCCACCCACATCCCTCCTGTGTTGAAGGCTCTGCTGAAATGACAGGTCTATCTAGGATGGGTCCAGGCGAGAGATGAGACGTCTTACTCTGTTCTCTACTCTGTCAAGCAGTCGCAGGTGAGAAGGGGGGGGGGAGGCAAACCAAGAAAGTGGAGCATACTCAAGGTGTGAGCGTACTTGTACCTCGTACAGAATCTTGTAACCCCTACTGTCAAGCAGATGCGAGATACGGCGAAGTGCTGTAAGCTTCCTGGCTGCCTTGTTTGCAAGATTTACAACATGGTTCTTCATAGTTAGTTTGGAGTCAAATTTCACCCCAAGGATATCAACTTCTTCTCCAGGTGCCAACACCCTCCCATTCATCCTTACTGCTGCACCAGCATTACCATCATGGTGCCTAGAGACTATCATCATTTGCGTTTTCTCAGGTGCAAATGTTACTTGCCATCTATTTCCCCAAGCTGATATAGCTCTTAGCTGGTGATTGATGTAGCTTAGAGCAGCTGGCATTCTTCTCTTGGATAAGTGAATGTCAGTGTACAGTCGTCTGCATATGCATGGGATTCTGGGATGAGATGAAGAAGGCCGTTGAAGTAGACATTCCATAACAATGGTCCTAGCACGCTTCCTTGTGGAACACTTGCCCCAATAGGATGTCTTGCTGATTCCGTTCCATTGAGAACAACACTTAGAGATCTACCATAAAGGTAATCACTGAGGAGACATAGCGTAGAGCCTGCAATTCCCAGTGCTTGAAGTTTTGCTAAGAGGCCCTGGTGCCACACCCGGTCGAAAGCACCAGCAATGTCCAGTGCTACCAAACAGCTGACTTTGGATTCATCCAGTGACTGGTGCCACTTCGTGGAGAGGTTTAACAACAGATCAGCAGCAGAGTAACCTTTCCTGAAGCTATACTGACGATCCCATATTGACGCTGGTTGTTCACATCTGACTCTAGCCTTCTCTCTCTTTCTTGCCTCTTTCATCTCTGTATCCTATCTCTCAGCTGTTGTCATTCTGTCGCGGTCTAGAAACACCCACTGGTATGTTGCTGATTCCTTTAGCCGTGGTTTCTCCTGCAGGATCATGTTCCACACCCACCGTTTGTCTTGAAAATCAGTTTGGCCGATTTCTATCCTTCAAGTACCCCTGTATTCTCTGAAAATTTATTAGCTCAAACATATCCTCCTCTCCTGTTTGATGATATTTTCAGTCTTTTTTTTTCTTTCTGCCGTCTTTCATCATATGTCTTCCCTTCACTCTCCTGAAGCCCGTGGATGAAGACAGACCTCTCCTTCTCCTCCTCCCGTTGCTTCTCCCTCCGCGTCTCTGGGCCCCGTTTATACACTGCAATTGCCTCCTTTATTAGTTCCTGTAACTCCTGGTGGCCTGGTTGTGCCTTTGCATGGAGTCTGTCTCTGCCTGCACCCCCTCCCCCTCACATACGCCTGCTCCCCCATCACATACTGCTGTCCCTGTGCCCAACAGCATGCCCTTTTCGTTCCTCGACCTTTCCTGATGACCTGTTAGGAACCCTCTTTTAATACTCGGGTACCTGCTCCAGATGCCATGGCCCCTCTGGCTGTTGCCCCTATAGCTCGCTTCAGCATTTTTACTTCGGCTTCTGGAGCCCGTATCCTGGCTTCTGCATGTGTGTGTATTCTGTGTTGTGTGTGTAAAAGTAGGAAAGCATGCATTTATGTATGTACATAAATAGGTGTATGTACAGAGGCAGGTAGGTATCAATGTATGTAGGTTGGTATGTGTGTATAAGAGGTGATGTCAAGCACAAATGTAAAATGACAGAACAGTATGGACATAAGGTTGTCTTTGACAGTAATCGTAACACTGATGAAGCGTTATAAAACAGTTATTTAGCACAACATTGCTAATATACATTTCTTATTTTTTTCAGACCCAGACAAGTTAGCAACAGAAATCTATGCCAGGTCAAAAATGTTCTCCGAATTTTACCCACTGTCTAAAATGGACTACCAACCAACAATTTCCGACTTCAAAATAAGGTTTTATAAATGATACATAAAGAAGCAGAAATGTGAAGACGATGTAATCAGTCCATCGTCCTTGAAGACGTAGTTTTGAAGTGGTCAGTCCTCAGCCAAGAGAAGTTTTTTGCTCATAGTCTGGAACAATATTATTGTCAACTGGAAGATGATTTATGTTTCTGTTTGATTTTCGTGGATTTTGATACTTTAGCTTTATCACTGATTGTAAATTTTCTCTTTTTCAGGGTAAGTGATACTTGGAACTGTCAAACTACAAGGCTACAATGCCTAGTGGTTGCTTAAACGATAGTAATGTTTTAGTTATATATGTGGCAGTATTACTCCGACAAAGCAGACACAAAACATCACGCCTATTGTAAAAAAAAAGCCTATTGTCAGTACTTTGGAGTGGAGGTCGGACACCAGGGCAAGCTGTGGGCACCTTATAGTTGTTGTGTGACTTGTTGCAATGAGTGGTATGCTGGTAGCAAGTCATGCATACTACTTGCAGTCCTGGGGGGGAACCAAAGAATCACTCCACAAATTATTTCTGTATCACAACAGCATCAAGATTTTCATAAAAAACACTGGACCTTCTTTCTGCAGACCTGTGGAACAATTTGAGGGTTTCCCTGATCCAGTACCACCATCCTGTAAAGATGTATTCTCTTGGATTATGAAGAAGCTTCTCAGATTACAAGTTTGAACTATCTGAAGTCAACAACCAGGAACCACATCTAGTGATTTAAAGTGACCTTAACGATCTTCTGCGTGGTCTTAATTTATCCAGTGAACGGTCAGAGCTTATTGCAAAGATTGTGCCAGTAGAATTTATTGCAACCAAACACAAGGAGCAGTTTTTTTCAGAAAGCGACAGAAAAGTGCTTAGAAACTTACTTGAACTTCGAAGAATCAATGTGTCATTTATGTGATGTTAACGGACTTTTCGATGCTTTGAGAAACATCATGATTCTGCAATGTGGCATTTATTTATTAATTCCAGCAAATCACGTCTGAAGTCAGGTTCACTTCACAATGGCAATATCCTAGCAAGTCAGCCTTTAGCTCTCGCTTGAGACTTGAAAGAAGCATAAGTAACAATACAAATCTTGTTTACCTGGAGAGAGTTCCGGGGGTCAACGCCCCCGCGGCCCGGTCTGTGACCAGGTCTCACTGATAGAATTTGAGAAGTTTGGGTGGAAAATCTGTGCTCTAAAAGTAATAGGCTTGCTACTGGGACTGCAAGAGGGGTTTACAAGTTCTGCTGTTCCCTGTGCCTGTGGGACAGTGGAGAGACAAAGAACTACATTAAACGTACGTGGCCAACTCGAGAGTCGTATGAGGCAGGCGTGAAGAACGTTCAACACAAACCATTAGTCAATCCAAAGATCATATTCCTTCCGCCTTTACGTATCAAGTTAGGCCTCATTAAAAACTTCATCATAGTTTCGGACAAAGAGGATAAAGGGTTTGTCTCTCTGAAGGAGAGGTTTCCCAAAGTTAATGACTCCAAACTGAGGGAAGGTATCTTCATCGAACCATAAATTTGGAAGTCACTAAATGATCCTCATTTTGACGAAACTCTCCAGGATGCTGAGCTGAGAGCCTGGGTGGCATTCAAGAACACGTGTGCAGATTTCTTGAGCAGTCATCACAGTGATGATTACAGAACTACTGTAGAAGAACTATTGACAGCATATTATCTACTAGGGTGTCGGATGTTACTCAAGATTCATTGCCTCCATTCTCACCTTGAATTTTCCCCGACAAACCTCTGTGACCTTAGTGAACACGGAGAACGATTTCACCAAGAGAAACCTGACGATCAGCTTGATGGTGGACTACTGCTGGACACTGGTGTGGGAGAGCCAGACCGAACACAAGGGATAAAGCCTGAAAACTGATGTACATATATCAGTATGACTATATGGGAATAAATTTACTCTAAGGGAGACTAGTTTTTGCCACTGCATGCACCACACTTCATATCTATTCATAATATCTATGATTGTTAGATAACATACATCGTGCGATTTTTTGAAATTAAGTAGCCAAAATATTGATCATAAGATTAAAAAAAAAAAAAACTTATGTGAAAGAGACTAAAAGTTAGATTCACGATCAGCACATCAAAGTTAACTTTAAAAAAACAATTTGGCTCCTAGATAAAAAGTTATATTTTGTAGCGCCTGGATGAATGGAAGGCAATCAGATTCGCTCCAAGGAAGATTAAGTCCAATTTCTTGGATCAAGAGCTTCTTCCGAGTATCAAAGCATCTTGGGGTCCAGACAGATGACTTATCAGGAGCCTTCACTCGTTTATTGCTTTATAATAATAATAATAATAATAATAATAATAATAATAATAATAATAATAATAATAATAATAATAAAAATTTTCAACGCTAATAAAAGGTAACATGGTTGTTTTATATATATATATAAGGCCGATGTCGTCTAAATTACTCACCTTGTGCAAAGCCTGAAGGTAAATGGTATACCACAAGATGGGCAGACATCAGCGGCGTCATTTCGGCTATACGTTTTTCCCAGTGTCATTACTGCATCCACGACTGACTTTCATTTGGAGCATCTCACAATAAACAGATATTCGATAAAATCAAGTCAGTGAGAGGAAAGAGCTCGCATTCATTACATTGCTATATATATCAGGATGAATGAGCGCGGCTTTGGCCTTTTATTACTTCCTAGTCTTATTGTAGGAACGTGTATGTCAGGGAGGTGTATGTCAGGGACGTATATTATCCCGGTCTCTAGCTCACTGGGCGTGTATGTCAGGGACGTCTATTATCCCGGTCTCTAGCTCACTGGGAGTGTATGTCAGGAGCGTCTATTATCCCTTTCTCTAGCTCACTGGGAGTGTATGTCAGGGACGTCTATTATTCCTTCTCTAGCTCACTGGGAGTGTATGTCAGGGGCGTCTATTATCCCAGTCTCTAGCTCACTGCGGTGACTCACTATGTGTTTGTCTTCCACTTCTGGTTTTATTTTACTAGTGGACTTTGCCTAAGGTCAGTCCTCTCTCTACATGATTGAATGTGGGTTGGGGTTTGAGTTGTACCTGGCCAGCTTGGGCTAGTAGTTCTACTGCAGTGCTTTTTTCTTCAGTAGTTGTGAGTGACTCGCCAACTCGATTGAGAGGGCCATTACTAACATGCCTAGGATTTTAAACTGGTAGAAGACTGAGGTATGAGTGTGTCTGGGAAACAGTAAATGTATAAAAGACATTTATCATAAAGTTACAAATAAGGACAATCGATCATGTCAGCAAACAAAGGGAGACAGCGGAGGGCAGCGAGAGACTAGCTCCCTTAAGGTTTACTATACTAATAGCAGGAGTGTAAGAAACAAGACAGATAAGCTAAGATTAATTGCAAGTGCAGGAAGCACAGATATTATTGCTATAACAGAGACTTGGCTCAATCTGAAAGATAGAGAAATGCCTTCTGAATGTCACATAAAAGGCTATAAATTATTCTACACTGATAGGGTCAACAGGAAGGGTGGTGGAGTAGTGATGTATGTCAGAGATAATTTAAATTGTTGTGTTAGACAAGATATAAAATTAGAAGCATCAGTCACTTAATCTGTTTGGTTGCAACTTCTCGAGGGCCGTGAAAAGCTAATCCTGGGTGTGATTTTCAGGCCCCCAAACCTTGATACGGAGTACAGTAAACTTCTATGGGACGAAATTCGTAAGGCATCTACATACGAAAATTTTGTGCTAAGGGGAGATTTTAACTTTAGACAAATTGACTGGAGCAATTTGACAGGAAATTTAGTCAAGTGACTTTCTTGATACGATTTTGGATTGTTTTTTAAAACAGTTTGTGACAGAACCAACTAGAGGAAATAACCTGTTTGACTTGGTTCTTGCCAGCAGGGAATCGCTAATTAATAGTCTTGAGGTTAATGGTGAGCTTGGGGAAAGCGATCACAAATCACTCGGTTTTAATATATCATGGAATTACCCTAATAATGGCAATAAGTCTCTGTCCCTGACTTCTGCTTGGCTGATTTCAAAGGACTGAGAAATTACCTGGGTGGGCTGAACTGGAATGACCTGACTATGGGTCAGATAGGTGGTGATGGATGCCAATATGACGTTTTCCAGAGCATAGTTCTAGCTGCTCAGACAACTTATGTTCCAAATAGGGAAATCAGATAAACAAAAATGATCCTAAATAAATGAACATTAGATTGAAACATCTCACTGGTCAAAAGAGAGGCATATATAGGTGAATCAAAAGGGAAAGGGGCAGTTAAAAAATCAATATATTCAGTTACAGAGAAATAAAAAAAAATGGAATAAGAAAAGCAAAAAGAGATTATGAGGTTAAATTTCCAAGAGAATCAAAGACTAACCCAAAATGATTCTTTCAGGTATACAAAAGTAAGATTAGGGACAAGATAGGCCCACTCAAAAATCACTCAGGTCAGCTCACCGACAGTGATAAGGAAATGTGTAGAATTTTGAACACTTCCTCTCAGTGTTTACGCAGGAAGATACTAGCGATATTTCAGAAATAATAAATTATGTAGAACAGGACGATAATAAACTATGCACGATTAGACAAATAAATAAGTTAAAACCTAACAAATCCCCAGGCCCTGATGAACTGTACGCAAAGTTTTCTAAAGGAATGTAAAGAGGAGCTTAACAAACCTTTGGCTAATCTTTTCAACATATCACTACAAACTGGCATAGTGCCAGATAAGTTGAAAATGTCAAATGTGATACCTATTTTTAAAGCAGGTGACAGATCCTTAGCTTCGAACTATAGACCAATAAGCCTAACCTCCATAGTGGGAAAATTTATGGAATCAATAATTGCCGAGGCAATTCGTAGCCATCTTGAAAAGCATAAATTGATCAATGAATCTCAGCATGGTTTTACAAAACGGCGTTCATGCCTTATGAATTTATTAACTTTATTCACTAAGGTAATTCAGGAGGTAGATCATGGTAATGAATATGATATTGTGTATATGGACTACAGTAAGGCTTTTGACAGAGTCCCACAATAGAGATTATTGAGGAAAATTAAGGCACACGGAATAGGAGAAATTTTTTCCTGGATAGAGGCATGGTTGACAAACAGGCAGCAGAGAGTTTGCATAAATGGGGAGAAATCAGAGTGGGGAAGCGTCACGAGCGGTGTTCCACAGGGGTCAGTGTTGGGCCCCTTGTTGTTCACGATCTACATAAACGACATACAAAAGAGAATAAATTACGACATAAGCAAGTTTGCCGATGACACCAAAATAGGCCGTCGAATTCATTCTGACGAGGATATTAGAGCACTGATGCAGTGCTCGGAGAAGTGGCAGATGCAGTTTAATATAGATAAATGCAAAATTCTCAACATTGGACAGGAAAATAACCATGCCACATATAAACTAAATAATGTAGATCTTAATATTACTGATTGCGAAAAGGATTTGGGAGTTCTGGTTAGCAGTAATCTAAAATCAAGACAACAGTGCATAAATGTTCGCAATAAAGCAAACAGAATCCTTGGTTTTATATCAAGAAGCATAAATAATATGAGTCCTCAGGGTGTTCTTCAACTCTATATATCCTTGGTTAGGCCTCTAGATTATGCTGCACAGTTTTGGTCACCGTATTACAGAATGGATATAAATGCTCTGGAAAACGTACAAAGGAGGATGACAAAGTTGATCCCATGTATAAGAAATCTTTCCCTATTAGGATAGACTGAAAGCCCTGAATCTGCACTCTCTAGAAAGGCGTAGAATTAGGGGGGGATATGATTGAGGTGCATAAATGGAAAACAGGAATAAAGGGGATGTATTATTATTATAATAAAAAAGAAGCGCTAAACCACAAGGGCTATACAGCAAAGGGGATGTAAATAACGTACTAAACATATCTAGCCAAAACAGGGCTCTCAGCAATGGTTTTAAGTTGGAAAAATTCAGATTCAGGAAGGATATAGGAAACCACTGGTTTGATAATAGTGTTGTGGATGAGTGGAACAAACTCCCGAGTACAGTTATAGAGGCTAAAACGTGTAATTTTAAAATAAGTTGGATAAATACACGAGTGGGTGTGAGTGTAAATTGGACCTGGCTAGCTTGTGCTACTAGGTCAGATGCCGTGCTCCTTAAGTGAATGTGACCTGACCTAACTAGGTTAGGGCACTGGTATAAGCCGTAAGAGACTTGGACCTGCCTCGCATGGGCCAGTAGGCCTGCTGCAATGTTCCTTCTTTCTTATGTTCTTATGAGAATGGAGGAACACTGCAGCAGACCTACTGGCCCATACAAGGCAGGTCCTTATTAAAACCATCCATATATATGTCCAATATTTTGCTATATGACTCTTGTAAGTTTAGCGCTTCTTTTTTATTGTAATAAATAATAATAATGTCCAATTTTTTCCCAAAGACACCAAGAATTTGCTTCAATAAATGCCTAGCATGTGTGTGTGTCTGTGTGTGTGTGTCTGTGTGTGCGCGTCTGTATGCGTCTGTGTCTCTGTGTACTCGCCTATTTGTACTCATCTATTTGTGGTTGCTGGGGTCGAGTCTTAGCTCCTGGCCCCGCCTCTTCACTGGTTGCTACTGGATCCTCTCTCTCCCTGCTCCATGAGCTTTATCAAACCTCGTTTTAAAACTATGTATGGTTCCTGCCTCCACTACATCACTTTCTAGGCTATTCCACTGCATGACAACTCTATGACTGAAGAAATACTTCCTAACATCCCTTTGACTCATCCGAGTCTTCAACTTCCAATTGTGACATCTTGTTTCTGTGTCCCCTCCCTGGAACATCCTGTCTTTGTCCACCCTGTCTATGCCGCGCAGTATTTTATATGTCGTTATCATGTCTCCCCTGACCCTCCTGTCCTCCAGTGTCGTCAGGCCGATTTCCCTTAATCTTTCTTCATAGGACATTCCCCTTAACTCTGGAACTAACCTTGTCACAAACCTTTGCACTTTCTCTAATTTCTTGACGTGCTTGATCAAGTGCGGGCTCCAAACAGGTGCTGCATACTCCAGTATGGGCCTGACGTACACGGTGTACAGTGTCTTGAACGATTCCTTACTAAGGTATCGGAACGCTGTTCTCAGGTTTGCCAGGAGCCCATATGCTGCAGCAGTTATCTGGGTGATGTTACACCAATACATAAAGGTGGTGACCCTACAGACGTAAACAACTATTGACCAATATCAAACTTACCATTGCTATCCAAAATCTTCGAGAAACTCGTGCACAGGAGACTATATTCATTTATAACGTCACAAAACATACTCAACCCCTGCCAATAAGATAAGATAAGATTTCGTTCGGATTTTTAACCCCGGAGGGTTAGCCACCCAGGATAACCCAAGAAAGTCAGTGCGTCATCGAGGACTGTCTAACTTATTTCCATTGGGGTCCTTAATCTTGCCCCCCAGGATGCGACCCACACCAGTCGACTAACACCCAGGTACCTATTTGCTGCTAGGTGAACAGGACAACAGGTGTAAGGAAACGTGTCGAA